GCATAGAAAATGATATTGACAAAACAAACATCTCAAATGACGATCCAACTTCCTTAAATGAGGAAGATATTCCAGATAATGATAGAAACGTAGATAATTACGAAATTTCAATAAACTACGTTTCTACTGTAATGCAATGGAATCGAAAAGATATTGATATTAATGAGATATTTGTCTATGTCGTTGCCACGAATGTAATGAACGAAAACAATGACAATGAGCCAACATCAATTGAAGAATGTCGGAAACGACAAGATTGGCCAAAATGGAATGAAGCTATTCAGGATGAATTAAAATCACTTGAAAAACGTGATGTTTTTGGACCGATAGTCCCTACGCCAAAAGGCGTAAAACCTATGGGTTTTAAATGGGTATTTGTGCGTAAACGCAAGGAGAGAAACGAAATTGTTAGATATAAAGCCCGACTTGTTGCCCAAGGTTTTTCTCAAATGCCGGGAATTGATTATGAAGAAACCTATTCTCCAGTAGTTGATGCAACTACATTAAGGTTTCTCATTGGCATGTCTATTTTTGAAAGGCTACCGCCTATCTATACGGTTCACTCGATACAGACATTTATATGAAAGTTCCCGGAGGATTTAAAATGCCTGAAGCATATAGCTCGAAACCTCGAGACATGTTTTCCATTAAATTACAAAAATCATTGTATGGACTAAAGCAATCTGGACGAATGTGGTATAATCGTCTCAGTGAATACCTTCTCAAAGAAGGATATAAGAATGATCCAATTAGTCCATGTGTTTTCATTCGGCGATCAAATTCGGGATTCGCCATAATTGCAGTATATGTTGATGACTTAAACATTATTGGAACTCCCGATGAAATTGAAAATACTGCAAAATATCTTATGAAAGAATTTGAAATGAAAGATCTCGGAAGAACCAAATTTTGTCTCGGACTTCAAATTGAGCATTTGAAGAATGGAATTTTCATCCACCAATCCAATTACACCGAGAAAGTATTGAAGAGATTCTATATGGACAAAGTTCATCCTTTGACTTCACCAATGGTCATTCGATCTCTCAACATACACGATGATCCATTCCGTCCCCGAGAAGATGACGAAGAAATACTCGGTCCTGAAGTACCATATCTGAGTGCTATTGGAGCTTTAATGTATTTAGCTAATAATACTAGACCAGATATTGCATTTTCTGTAAATTTATTAGCTAGGTACAGTTCATGCCCAACAAGACGTCATTGGAACGGGATCAAGCACATGTTTCGTTATCTCCGTGGTACAGTTGATCTCGGCCTATTCTACGACAAAGATGCAAAATCCACTTTAATCGGATATGCAGATGCTGGATACTTATCAGATCCTCAAAAGGCGAAATCACAAACCGGGTACGTATTTACTTATGGTAACACCGCAATCTCATGGAGATCTATGAACCAGACATTGACAGCTACATCATCAAATCATTCTGAATTAATTGCACTATATGAAACCGGGAGAGAATGTGTGTGGCTGCGATCTATGATTCAATACATCCAAGATGAATGCGGTATGAAAGCTATTAGTTGTCACCTGACTGTGATCTACGAAACAACACTGCATGCATAGCTCAAATTAAAGAAGGCTACATCAAAGGAGATAGAACGAAGCACATATCTCCAAAGTTTTTCTCTACTCATGACCTTGAGAAAGAAGGGACGATCAACATTCAACAAATCAGATCTAGTGAAAATCCAGCCGATCTCTTCACCAAATCATTACCCCCGAAGAAGTTCATGGAACTTGTACAGAAAATCGACATGCGCCGCCTTAATAATTTATGTTAATTTCAGGGGGAGTATTTGAATGCACTGCACTCTTTTTTCCTTCATCAGGTTTTTATCCCACTGGGTTTTTCCTGATAAGGTTTTTAACGAGACAGTACATCCAAATGCAACGACATTATATGTCATAATTTTTACCCCTTAATTTTCACACTCATTTTCACAATAAGATAACAAATACATATTCAAGGATGAACATTCAAGGGGGAGTGTTGTAAAACCATCAAATTGACAAGTGTGAATTATTCATCCTTGTCACTAGGACACCAAGATGTTCCTGATCTTTGTAATGATCCTTGTAACCTAGTTAGAATAGGTGGTTCAATTTGTTATTGCCACCAAATCTGTTGACTCATCATTTAGGTGACTAATCATCAAGCTCAAACACTATAAATAGGAGCTTGATGAAGCCTTGTAAATTAATTCAGAAACTCAGAAAGTTCAGAGATAAAGAAGAAGTAATTTAGAGGTTTTTATCTATATATCTATCCCTTTATTTGGTCTTCATTTTCTTCATTTCATAACAGTTTCAATTTTCTTATTTTGCCATTTGTTACTACGTATGATTAATGAGCATAAAAAAGTTTAGAACTTCGATTTTGAAAAAAAAAACATTACGATCACTTGCTTTTGTACGTAGTATACCACGTACTACTACTATATACTCGCTCAGTAACATAGACAGGGACCGCATTTTATACTCCCACTCTTTTGGATAGATTGAGTTTATTAGTGTACATAAATGAATCAAGCCAAGTGTATTTCATATTTCGTGAACATAGGTAAACCAAGGTGTATCAGTGTAGGACTGTAGGACACTAGGCGTAAATGCCTCAGGTACAAAGAATATTTTTAAAGAAAAAAAAATACATGAGATTTATTACACTGTATGTTGGCCCCTCTCTAGCTATGCCCCTGTATGTATATACTTCCTCCATTCATAAATAAGTGTAACATGTTGAATTTCATACTATTTACGTTTTCTACTTTGATTATGTTTTATTTATAAATGTATTAATACATATTTTTAAAAAAATATTGGTAATTGTAAATTTTCAAATGTGACTCTTACTTTTTTTACTAAGAGAAATTTTATCTATTACCAAAGTAGGTAATAGATATTATACACATCATCAAAGTTATGTATAGACAAACATTTTAAGTGGATTGGTGCAATTATTTAAGAATGTAAAACATATATTATACTACGTACAATGTACAAACATGTGGATACATGTTTTACAAAAATTAAAAAAATAAAGGATACTGTTTTTAATTTACAATTACTAGCTAAAAAAATTAAAAACGAGTAATGTTCAGGTACAAAGAAATACAATTTGGAGGAAAATGTTGTCAAAAATAGACGGGACTATTTTGAATATGAAAATTATATTACTATTTATTAATAAATATAAATACTAAAATTATTCTTTCTTAGTCAATGGTAGCCAATTTTGATCAATGATATTTTTAACACCGAACTATTTTAGATATGAAGATTATTTTAAAATGTTTCTTATTCGAAATATTTTCGTATAAATTTTATAAATTACATACAAATATAATAATTAGAATAATTGTCTAAAGTTTGTCATTATTCATAAAGAAAGGTCAATATGGTGACTCTTTTCGGAATGGAGGTAATATTTGAAAATTAAAAGTCACCCAAATCAATTACTCCGTAATTAATAGAGTTCGAAATATATGTTAATCACCTATAATTAAGGGAAAAATAGTATCCACACCCAACTTTATGTAAAAATTATTTTCGCTTCATAATTGTATGTCTAATATAATTTTTGAAATAATTACAAAATTAACATTCTAAATTTTTATTTGTGAAATAAATAATATTACATCTAGTACAATTTAATTTTAATTGCATCTCCATAAATGTTTTGTGTAATTAAAATAATGTACTCCGGCCACTTAGTATCATAAAATTACATTTGTGAAAAAACTTATTATGTTCGTGGTTATAACACGTTTTTTATACTCCCTCCGTCCCATTTACATTGTCTCGTTTTACCTTTTCAACAAGTCTCACTTAAATTGTTTTATACCATATTTGGCAAAGTTTGTGTGGTTCTAAAGCATTCTTACTTTATTCTTACTTTATCAATTAATATCAACCACACAAACCCACTTTTCTTAATAATCGTGTCACTCTCTTCCGGGACAATATAAATGGGACAGAGGTAGTACTTCGTATCAAGTTTGAGATATACTCCCTCCGGTTCTTAATTAAGTTCCTACTTTCTTTTTTGAATGTCCTAAGCAAGTTTTTACTTCTTTATTTGGCAAACAAATCCGCATCAAAACAGTGCCAAATAATGTCAAACAGTGTCTCAACAGTAAAACACATTCAAATTTACTCCTCATTAAATTTATTTTCTTAATATGTGTGAAGTCAAATTAGGAACTTAATTAAGAACCAAATGAAGTATATTGCAATGATAGTTTGAGGTATTTATCTCACACCCTTTCATAGTTTAGGATAATTAAATTATTTTCCCCTATAATTAATTAGCAAAACACCTCTAACAAATTAAAAATAGCCTGCACTCATGGGAAAAAACAACTCTACCATATAATATTAATCAGTCCTAATTACCTCAATCCTAATAATTGTCCATTAATTTTACTTTCAGCAAATATATATGAACTAGTATTCCACCCGTGCGTTGCACGGGGTGTAACATACAAACATAATAAATCTAAAACATCATTTTACCTCTAAATCAAATTATAGATTACATTATAATTTATCACGGGAATGAGAATACCCACTACTGATTTGATTGAAGCAAAAAAGGAAGAAGAATTGCTGAGAATACACAATTTAAGAGTATTCAGGATGGAGTTTCATTAGGCAAATTGATTGTCATATAGTGTTCTTCTTCACCCTATTTCTCCCTCACCATTTTATTCTCCACCCATCTCTGTCTTCTCAGTCATTTCTCCATTGTCTTTCATATTATTTTTACAATTCCTACTCAACCAAATTACTTAATTTCAGATTCAATTGAGTATCTCCAATGTCTTTAACAGTTGCTTTAAACTCATTTTGGGAAAAAATGTGATTCACAGATGGGTTAAGACTGGTATTGAGCGTAATTCTCAACAGTAAAACAGTGTCAAACAGTGCCAAATAATGTCAAACAGTGTCTCAACAGTAAAACACATTCAAATTTACTCCTCATTAAATTTATTTTCTTAATATGTGTGAAGTCAAATTAGGAACTTAATTAAGAACCAAATGAAGTATATTACAATGATAGTTTGAGGTATTTATCTCACACCCTTTCATAGTTTAGGATAATTAAATTATTTTCCCCTATAATTAATTAGCAAAACACCTCTAACAAATTAAAAATAGCCTGCACTCATGGGAAAAACAACTCTACCATATAATATTAATCAGTCCTAATTACCTCAATCCTAATAATTGTCCATTAATTTTACTTTCAGCAAATATATATGAATGGGAAATTAATTAGCAGCCGGCTGGCTAGGAGGATCTTTTACGAAGGGTGTGCTTATTATTGTGCATCCAAACCTTAAACACCTGTCGCCGGATGTTTGTGTTGGCGCAGAAAAGCTCGACGGCTTCCTCGTCGTCTTTCTGAATCTGCCACTCCAGTTGCTCGGCGAAGGCCATCATTTTGTCCTTTTGCTCCCGGGTGAACTTCGTCCTGAACCGCTTTCTCGACCCGCCTTCCCCGCCGGCGCTGCTGCTCGGGTTCGACACCTCATTGTTCCGGCAGGTCGACGGCAGCGCCAGTGGGAGGTAACCGCCACCTGGCGGGTGGCAGTGATGAAGTGGCGGCGTGCGGTACGATGTGTTGGCGTAGTCGCAGATTTCCTCCTCTTTCCGGTGGAAGTTCCGGTGGCAGCCGCAGGCGGCGCATTTCAGGGCTTCTAGGGTCCCGTCGGGTCCCGCCGGCATAAACTCGCCGCATCCATCCACCGCGTGCCCGCCCATCCCTACTGCATGGTTCTTCAAGCACTCTCTGTGCCTGTATGTGGTCATGGGCCCGGCGCCGGCGCCGTTTTTTCTCCCGCCGGCGAGTGCGGCCGCTTGGGTTTCTTCCCCGCCTCTACCGGGGTGTCCATGCGACTGATAAGACCCTATAGCTTCCATTTGATGGTGCATCTCGATTTCGTCTTCTTGCTCATCATCATTATCATCAAAATCCATTCTTTGATTTGTAAATCTTTTATTCTAGCATATATTTGGATTTGGATGAATGGATGGGGAGTTGAGGAAGCTAAGAGTCTAAGACTTGAGAGAACGAACTGTGAAGTGATGAATTACTGTTAGCTTGGCGTGACATATATGGGGTTAAAAGACTTGTGATTTGATCGAGGAAAAGAGCAGCTGAATAAGTATGGGTTGATTCTATGGTACCCATGAGATACTGTACCTTTATCAACATGGACCAATCAGAATCATGCCCAGTTATTATCGAACCGTTGTGGCACCATCTTTCTATCATAAGAGATACGCTCTCGATCAATCTCTCTCATTGATAATTTTACATAATTTGATGAGCGAGAATTAACAACAATCACAAATTCTACAAATTAAAGAGAATTAAGAACAATAACAAATTCTTTATTTAAAAGAATAATTAAAAAAATTAGTGAGATAACTAAAGGAGAATGTTGGCAAAATTCTAGGACGAAATGATCAGTATATAATTAAAATAAAGGTGATAGATAATTAAAATGTGATCCCTTATATAAAATGTTTATAATAATCATTTGGGAAAATTCCGTAATAGGAGGAAAAAGGTTTGAAAATTTCAAAGTAAGATTATCATATTTTTATTTCCAAAATATAAATAATCACTATCAAATTTGGAAAATACTGCCAAGTTTAAAATTTGGTACTGCCAAAATATGACAGTAGTTATTCCTATTTCGGTAAGAAAAACATGATAGTCTTATTTTGAAATACAAGAACTTCTTTCTTCCTATTTTGGATAATTTCTCTCATCATTTTTAGTAATTATACTACCTCCGGTTTTTTTTTAATCTTCACAGTTTGACTTCACACAAAATAAGGAAAGAAATTTGACTTTACTGTAGAATACACTGTTTGGCACTGTGGAGATACTGTTTGGCACTGTGGAGACACTGTTTGGCACTGTTGAGACACTGTTTGGCACTTTTTGGCACTGTTTTGATGTAGATTTCTTTGCCAAAAAAGGAAATAAGGAAGTGTGAAGTTTATTTTAGACCGTCCCAAAAAGGAAAGTGTGAAGTTTATTAAAAACCGGAGGGAGTATATGATAGTGTTCAGTTTGACACTATGTAATCATAAAGTGAGGTGTATTTCATAAATGTCCCACAAACCTTGTCAACTTTCGTTTGTGGGATGTATTTAATACATTGTTTGAGGTGAACGCCTTAAAACTTTGTCACTACAAGAACAACTATAATATGATTACTTTGTGCAACATCATCCCTTATAACTTTATTATCTTTCTGTTGAGTTTTAATCCAACATGATATAGTAAATATATGTATAAATGTGTAAGAACAAGCTATTTTTACGTGGAAACCCAAAAAGAAAAAAATCACAGGACTTTTTAGGCTAATGTTCAAGCCATCTCTTTCTCATTAGGACTCTCCTCACCATTACAAGGTACAAGTATTGAAGCTCCCATTAATGGAGTTCTAAGCTAATCTAGAGAAAGGAGGAAGAAGAAAGGGATCCTTCATAAGGAGGGAACTCCTCCTATTTATAGATAAATGGGGAAGGGGGGCTCTCCACCCTAACGGCCCGGATGGGCCCAAAGGCTGGCCTGATAGGTTAAAATGGACACCAGTGATTGGGCTCCGTACTACGTAAAGTATTGGGCTCCTGAACAATAACAGATCGGGATAATATATCCCAACACAAGTCCCCCAGTTTCTTGAGTAGTGAGCACGCGCATCTGCTCGAGAAAGTATATTCTTGGTCACGCCCTTCCTTGAATCTATGTCTTCGAGTAATCTTGCTTACACATGGCCTCGGCTTTCAGGCCCCACAGGCTTAACAATGCCTTGGCCTGGGTGTGAGGGATTGGGGCGTTCGGTCCGCGGATGCCCGACCTGACTTCCTTTGGACGTTTGACCCTAAAAACTCGGTCTGGATGTGTCCTGTCTCTTGATGACGACCCGGGGGCACCATGACCTCGGCATACAGCAACAATCCATGAGCCGAATTCCTAGAGACGTTCGACCTCCAGATGCTAGGTTGGGCTTCCTTGGACGCCCGGCCCCTTGACGGTCAGCCCGCTCGATCTCTGGTTGTTGGGGCTCTGGAATTTTCCTTCTGGTTGCTCGCCCCGACATGCTTAGGAAGATTAGTCCCTAGAAACCCGACCCGACTTCCTTTGGACGTTCGTCCCTAGAAACTCGGCCTGGATGTGTCCTTGCTCTTGATGACGATCCGGGGGCACCCCGACCTCGTCATACAGTGACAATCCATGGACCTAATTCTTAGAGATTTTTGACCTCCGGTCGCTAGGTTGGGCCTCCTTGGGACATTTCAACCTTGACATGCTCAGTCTGGGTATGCTCGGTCTCAGGATGTGCTGCGCGTCTCACGGCCCTCGGCCCCTGGGGTAGAAGAAGCTCGTCTCCAGGCCCTCGGCCTCTGGGGTGGAGAAGATTGTCTCCCGACCCTCGACCTCTGGGGTGGAGAAGCTCGTCTCGCGACCCTTGGCCTCTGGGGTGGAGAAGCTCGTCTCGCGACCCTTGGCCTCTGGGGTGGAGAAGCTCGTCTTCGGGCCCTCGGCCTCAGGGCAGAGATGATCGTCCACGGTGCTTGGCCGTGAAGGCCTTCTCTAAGCCCTTGTCCTTTGCGTAAAGATGCTCGTCTCCAGGCCCTCAGCCTCTGTGGCGGAGAAGCTCGTCTCCTTACCCTTGGCCTCTGATGGCCTTCTTTAGATCCTCGGCCTCCAGGTGGAGGATGCTCGTCCCCTGGCTTCGGCCTCCGGGTGGAAGATGCTCGACTCCAGGCCCTCAGCCTCTGTGGTGGGGAAGCTCGTCTTCGGGTCCTCGGCGATTCACTATAGAAGTTCCCATCCCGGGGACGCTTGGCCGAGATCACTCTGCTCGGGGACTAGGCCATAATGTTTCTTACTATATAGTAGTTACAATGTTTAGGCATGGGCCTTACTCTTATCCCGCGCACGTGGTTTTCTCACAACCGTAGGAGTTAATCACGGAGTGATCTTTAGAAAAAGGATGAAAGACCATATTCCAACCCAAAGTCGTGATGTCGCTTACTGGGTGGCCACAGAGGATAGCTTCTGGTGTAAGATCGCCTGACCTCGAGTTCCACGCCACCATTAATGGTGAAAACCAAGGAGCTCTCTCCCGGCAGGTGTCTCAGTGCTGCAACGAACTTCATCTCGTGCGGGTAAACCCATTGGAGCATCTGTGACGGTGGGGACATTGACCACGGCTCCGGCGACCCCAACAAGATCTGGAAGGAGTCCAGATCTAGACTTCCATATTTTGTAGCTTCTTAGCTTCCCTTCTTTTTGAAATCAGCATCTTCTTCCTGCTTTCTTTTCCAGAATCTTTCTTCTCTAATTTTTCCTTTTTTTACTGGAATCAGTCCACTTTGTATGAATTTTTAGTAGAATACTCAAGAACAGTAGAACACACGAATCTTTTGGGACAGGTTCCCACAGACGGCACCAGTGTTGAGTTTTAATCCAACACGATATAGTAAATATATGTATAAATGTGTATGAACAAGCTATTTTTATGTGGAAATCCGAAAGGAAAAAAATCACGGGACTTTTTAGGCTAATGTCCAAGCCTTTCTCTGTCTCATTAGGACCCTCCTCACTATTACAAGGTACAAGTATTGAAGCTCACATTAATGGAGTTCTAAGCTAATCTAGAGAAAGGAGGAAGAAGAAAGGGATCCTTCATAAGGAGGGCACTCCTCCTATTTAGAGATAAAGGGGGGAGGGGGGCTCTCCACCCTAACGGGCCGGATGGGCCGAAATGGGCCCAAAGGCTGAAACAGGCCTGATAGGCTAAAATGGGCCTTACTGATTGAGCTTCGTACTACGTAAAGTTTTGGACTCCTGAACAGTAACAGACTGGGATAATATATTCCAACACTTTCATTTTTGAGATGTTCTAAAAATATTATCATTTTCTGTTTTAATCAATTAATTTGTGATTAATGTTATTTCTCTACTCTGTATTATTTATGCCATTCAAATTTGGTGTTATCGTACAAGTAATAATCGTACAAAAATGTTGTTGATATACATACGGAGCAATTCGTATACATTTTGTGCACTTTGTGGACCATTCGTTGAGAACTATGAATATACAAATAAAGATGGTGTACACCAAAATGTACTATCTCTTTCCCGTTGGAAGGTTCCCATAACAATACGGCACAATTATTTAGACAATAACTAAATAGAGTACTTTGAATATATTTGAGAAATAATTTTAATAGGTACGGAATAGTATATATTACTCCCTCCGTCCTTAGATAAACTTCTACATTTCTTTTTTCGTCCGTCCCAAATTAAACTTTCACTTTCTTTTTTTGGTAAAACTTTTTTGGTTCATAACATTTCTTACATATTTCTCTCTCATCTACACAACTCTACACAACACAATATTCACTACCTTAAACGGTGTGTCCAACCGTTTTGGAAGTTTTATTAGGGACGAAGGGAGTATAATGTAATTAGTATTGATAACCGTGATATTATAAATGTATTATTTTTAATACTTAATAATTAATTTGTTACTTAACCTTGTTAATCACTCCGTATTTTCTTAATTGGAAATGAAAATGCTTATATGTCAAAAAAAAGGAAAATGAGAACTTCTAGAGAACATGTGTACCAAATACGGGTAATACACTAATACGTTTGAGTAATCCTACTCCGTATATGATTTGGATGGAGCGTGGGAACAAAGATTTTGACAAGACGGGGAGGAAAAGGAAAAGGGGCCGTGCCCTGAATTAAGGTGTGCTGTTTTGGCAGCCTTTTGGGCTAACATAGATTTATCATATATTCTCTATTCTATTGCCCAAATATTTGTATTCTTAGATTCCTCTGTCCCAGAGCTGCCCACTCTCCGAATATTGGACCACTCCTTTGGCAGCCTTTTCAACTCATTTGTCATTTATGTTACGCTACCCCATCCCAAAATTATTGTGTGCTTTGATTGCCCATGGGATTTAAGAAAATGAATATTGTTTGGTAATCATTAACAATAAGGGAGTATTTGAAATCACTTAAAAAAACATTTCTCACCTTTTGGCTTAAAAAAACACTTATTTACCAAACACTACCAATTTTTACTTTTTCTCGGCTTGCGTGTGAAAAGTGCTTTTCCCCTTTCTATTACACAAGAAGCACTTATTTTACCAAACACTATCAACTTTTACTTTTCAAAATCACTTTTTTCTCAAACACTATCAACTTTTCCTACTAATCACTTTTTCCTTACATCTCCAAAAGTGCTTTTTTAAGCAGAAGCAGTTGCAAACACTCCGTAAGAAAAGTGATAGATACGCAATAATATAAGAATGGATGCAAAAAAGACAGTGATGATATAAATTAGGTATACCAGAAGTAAACACATTAACACTATATTGAAAACCTCATCTTAATAATTAACCAATAAGTAAACACTTACTATCAAAATGCTAATTGGATTTATCCCTATCAGAATTGCAATCACAAATAGGTTGCACAATTGAATCCACCCTGCCTTTGCCGCTTGCTGCCCAATTTCAAGACAGAGAGACTTGAGTAACCTTGACCTGTTTTTGCTACTTGGATCCCTTTGAATTTTGTTTGTGGTTATGTACTACCATGTATCATACACAAGAGTAAATGTGTAATAGGTAGTCATTTTGAGTATTCAATTTCTTTTTCGGATAAGTAATTACTCCCTCCGTCTCATTTTGGTTCTACTTTCCTTTTTGGGTTGTCCCAAAACGAATGTCATTTTTCCTTTTTTGGATGAAATATGTGGTTCTTATCAATTTACTTTATTCTACCCAAATCTTAACCACAACTTTTACTTTTCAACTACTTTATTAATAATCTTGCCAAATTGAAAGTGGACAACCATTATGGGACGAAGGTAGTACAACATTATTATTTTGGCACAAGTACCAAAAGAAGAGTTCCAAATTATTTGTGACTCGGAAATCAGGTCAGGGGTCAAAGCTAAAAATTTCATTATATTTTTTATTGCTTATAAATATTTATACATACATATATACATAAAAAAATTCTTGCAGGGCTCGAGGCCCCCACCAACCTCTCTCCCTATCTCCACCCTCTCTCACCCTCTTGTAATAATATTAGGTTTTGACGCGATATTGCCCCTAAATAAAGTACTATCGCCGTCTCATTTTATGTGTCTTTTTGGATTTGATACAATTATTAATAAAGTGATTGAAAAAGAAAAAATCATTGAAATTTGATATTAATCAAGTAAAATGTTGTTAACCACATATTTCTTTTCTAAAAAGAAAATATAACACTTATTTTGAGAGAATCAAAGAAGCAAATTAAAACGGGTCAAATGGGATGGAGGGAGTGTCATTTCAAAAAAGTTTTTTTTGTACACACTTCACGATTTACAAACTTGTCCACATTGTCTGAGAAGGTTTTTTTGTCTGTCACGTTTTGCTTGTGACAAAGAAAAAAGTCTTCATAGGCAGCGCGTGCAAAATCCGTAAACAATAAAATGTGTACAACGTACAAGAATTGTCATTTTGAGCTCGGTCAACTATCTTCGACTACTTGATTTTAGCTAAAACCGATTGGCTTGTCAATCTCAACATATAACATGTGTTGATCAAGCATCATCATCGTATACAAGTTATGTCCAACCACGTTGTGACTAGGAGAATTTCGACCATATGTCATGATGACGATGCATTGTAAGTGAAGTCATGAGAATGGCCTTAAAACTTAAAATTATCTTTCCAACGAGATATAATAGAAACGGAAGAAGATACAAAAAGATATGAGTGTTACAAATACTAAGCCTGTTCTCTGTATTTTTAGCGTTTTCAGCGTATATAGGTGCATGAAATTTCGAAAGGAGAGTTAGCATTGGAGATCTTGGAGTAGGGTAATTTTACTCTAGTTTTCATGAAATGGGTTTACTTAGAGCTTGTGGCATGGTCATGGACATCATCTCATCTATTTCCTAAAATGCTGAAAAGAGAATACCTGTGTCCACTAAAACCACTCCCAATGCTAAAAACCTTGTCGCTGCCACCATGCATTAAAGACAACCTATTATCTAACAATCCATTTAGTCACTTCAACTCAAATTACTTACCTAATTTAGGTTAAGAGGCTTTATTGAGCATAAAATTAAAATAAGAACAAGTTTGTGCATAATATGAGAAATGAAAAAGTTGGATTAAATAACCCCTGAGATTTTGGAAATGGGAGTGCACTTATTTCCCTTTTGGCCCATGTTGAGAACCCACCAGTAAATTGATTTTTTATAATCATAATTTCAAATTTTCAATGTTTGGGCTCCTTTAATTCTGAAGTGTATGGATTACACTCTAAAGAATGAATCCAGCAAACTTACATCACCTTAATTGTTGAGGTACTCCGTGAAAGCAAGGCTTCCCTCATTTTCTTTGATGGGAATTGAACTCAAGACCTCCTTACAAAAGAGACTTGGGGCTGGGTGGCCCACCAAGTGAGCCACAACACCTTGCCCAAAATAAGAAGTTTAATTTATGGTTGCTGGAATCCGAGCCCATGTTTCCATGGCCACAACTAGAGTATGACATATTAATTGAGAAATCTACCAATTCAGCTGCCCAACTAAAGAGTATCATATAAACAATCATATACTCCGTATACTGCAATGTTTGATGGTCCGAGAACACACACATGAACTACAGGAATCTTTAAAAAATAAGTTCTACAAAAAATGAAATTTGGCCAAACTCAACCCATTATTACAAGCAGGTATATAATTAGATCAAACACAAGTATAGATACATGTACCACACACTTTCATCTAGCAATAACTGGAAATGGACAGCTTGCTGGCTATGGATGTCGTAGCAGAGCACCTTGCAAACATTTGACAGCACTATCATAGTTTACAAATCCCATAAACCAAAACTCATGGTTGTCGATAGATATAACTTGGATAAACTTTTCAACTGGATTGATTTTGCTAGCCGAAGGATTAACTGCTTTCAACTGATGGATTGGAAGTATCACCTGATTGCGGAAAAGACAATAGTATAACAATTGTCAAAAGCAATAGCATAACAATTGATAAAAGTAACTAACTCATGTAGTTACATTAGTAAGATGAATCATTGAAGCATCTTATAGTCTTAAAGAGCTAGCAGTAGGATGCTCAAGGCTCAAGGATGAATGAATTGAATCCTTGATATTGTGAATGCTGAATTGTCTAAAGGCTGAAGTGCATCTTCATTATTTTGAGCCATTTTCACCAAAAAAGAAACGTGTGTACTATTTTTAATACTAGCCAATTCAGCGAATGTGGTGAAATTAGTTGGTGTTTGGTAAAACAATTCTCCTTTTCATTCATTCATCATCATTACCCTAGTGTATCATCATTCATCTCCCACCTACGATGGGGGTAAGGGGCGATCAGATGTACGCAGCCTTACCCCTGTACTAAAGCAATTCTCTGATAAACTGAAAAATGCCAACCGAACAGGATCTAAGTAGCAGTTGACTTAATTATTTGGCTGAAATGGACGTTTCCACAAAAGTGAATTTCCCTCAAGAAACTTGAACTTATCCAACCATTTTAGTAAGACAAGCCTTATGAGATAGTCCTGTAAGGTCATACTGATATACACAAGAAGAAATAGGAAGTTGGGTAGTTAGTAGTCTGTTAAGTCAGTTCTATTATCCCTGCGTGGATAAATGACTATAAATAGAAGGAGTTAGCTATTTTTAGACAGGCTGTTATACTTGTTGGCTGATTTGTTGGAGACTGGGCATCTCGAACTGTCCCCCCCTTTGCTCTATTTTCAATTCTTGTTCATTTATGATAATCAATAAACCCTAATTCTTGATACTTGTTGATAGAATTTACTGCAATAATTGTTCTGAACTATCCAGTGTCTTATCACAATTCACATACTCATACACTACTACTACTACAAGCGAAATAGAGAATGTTTTATACCCCATGATCCCCTTTCATTTGGTATTTATGTTCCGTCAAAAGTAGCACATAGGAACCAACTCCTGTGTAGGAACAGTGATGTTAGTTGGGAATACCTTGTAATAGCTCCATTGTGTTTGCTCGCCAACTTTATAAGAGAGTGGATTATCACTGCAAAATGCAATTTTTGCAGAAGACAAGTAGAGAAGTCCCATAACAGGGCCAGCTGAAGTGGACAAGTAGCATGCATATGCCTTCAACAGTTTCTCCTCCGGAAGGGTCTCAAATGTTTGTCTGAACACTTTATCATAACCACCTTCTGCCAATATCTTTGTTCCCTGAGCAATTCTTCCCACTGCAGCATCGGCCAAGCTGGGACCAGTTTTCACTGATCAAAGCCAAAAGTTAGAATACTTTTCTCCATGCACAATTCTAGGAAAACTATGGAATTACTAAACAAGAGAATACATCTACTTATCCTTAATTAGTACATGTAAAGATACATCGTTGAGCATCAAGAACACATTATAAACAAGCAATACGAAATTTGGACATCAATTCATAGAAGCAGGAAAATTTGATCTTGTAAATTTGCTAGACTTACAATGCTGCCACATGTTTTCAGCAAGATCCTGCCCCTTCTTTGTTGCCTCAGCGGCCTTCTTGCCCCATTTCCCCAAAACATCCTTCACTGTATCCATCGTATCTGCAAATAAGTTTTCACATTAAATTTCCAGCAATTAACAAATGAATACAGAACTTGGGATTCAACCTTAAAGATTTGTACTTTTTAGTTTTTTTTCATACACGTCAGGTGTTGAAGATCAATTGATTCTATTTGACTGTTGGCACTTAATTAGCTCGAATAACATTGGGATTCAAGACTTTTGATTTGTATTTTTTTATGCCACCTGTGTGGCATGGCTAAAACAATAAGAATCAGCAATAGATTTATCTTAAAATCTCCCAAAGTAATAATTATTGATAATCAGAGAGGCGAACTCACTTTTAACGGAGGAGCCGGGTCCAGAGGCGGGAGCAGGGGAGACGTAAGGGTTTGACTCGGATGGCATGGTGGTAGCGGCTGATCCAGAGATAGGAGCGGGGCCTGAAGTAGACGGAGGAGATCTAGTTTGTTCCGGCAGCGACGGCGGATGATCGGAATCTAGGGAGACGGGAACGGTGTCGCTGGGATCGATCTTAGGGTAAGCAGCGTAATCGGAAGAGCGAGATTGGGGTTCCGGCTTCGGCTGATGGGTTTGGGAATCGGAGCTCATGACGAATCGCGAAATAATTAGGCAGGGATGAGAAATCGGGTTCCAGAAAGTTCTATTTCTGTACGCAGATATGGGAGGGGACGAAGAAGACACGGAGATAGAGGTGTTGTTGTCTGTAAATAATGAATGTAGGTACATTCTTTAGATAGCCGTTACCTGTAGTTTATGAACGTTGGTGTGAGTCATTGTAATAATTAAAAATATAAATCAACCCAAATAGGACTAAAAGTGGTCTGAAATTCAAAAACATGACCTTTTTATGTTTTTATTTGTAAATAGTATCAATTTACTCCTATTCTCAAACATACTAAAATTAGCATCCAATTTTTACCCTTGCACTTAATTACCCCTTTCTAGCAACTTCTCTCACCAAACGATCGTTGCTTCCTTCATACGCGACCAAAGGGGTGCCCCCAGCCGCAGCTCACCTTCTCCCTTGCACGGATTCGTTGATTTCATCGCAGGCCACCTTCGTCGTAAGCAGTGGCGGATCCAGGATTAAAGCTTATTGGGGGCGGGGGTAATTCAAAAATGCGTCATCGATCAGAACAAAATTATTAATGTAATATTAAAGTAATAAAAGTTTTAAATAGGATACATCAAAAAAGTTGTGTCGAGTTTTCATCTTTCGGAAGAGATCCACTACAGTTCATTTGTAACAATTTTCGTGGAAAGTCATGTTCACGGTGGCGGCGGACATGACAGCGGTGGTTGGGCGACACCGGTGTGGGCGGCAGCAGCGAGTGCAACAATGACGACGACGGTAGTGGCGGCGCCGGCGAGGGCGGCGACGAACGACGCTGGCGAGAGCGGCGACGATTGGCATTGGCGAGAGCGGCGGCAGGCGGCGCCGACTAGGGTGGCCAGCGAGGATGGCTGAAGTGGTCCTGCTGAAATTTTAGGGTTTCATCAAATTTTGATTTTACATTTTTTATTATAAATTCAAATAAAACTTGAATAGGGGCATTTTTGTACAATTAGGTGATTTTAAGTCCCATCAAACATAGTTTACATTTTAAGTCCTATTTAGGCAAACCGGTACACTTTTAGTCAGTACCGGCTTTAGGCCCTAGGAACATAGGCTATTGCCTAGGGCATCATTTTGAGAGATGGCACCATATCTTTATATATATAAAAGCTGGACCGCCTGACACTAGAACCACCTCCATGTCAGGAAGAATTTATGGAAATGCTTTACTCCACGATCTGTATTAATTTTTTTAGTACCTATTTTTATTTTAGTTCAAGTAAGTTTGATTTGGATATTTGGATTCTCGGTAGAATACTTTTGATAGACATTGTTTTGGTTCTAGTCATTTTATTGCATTGCTCGTTTTGTATCTAACTACTCATGTTGCTTTATACGTAGTATGAGTTAATCGTCTCTATTCTCTCTATTCTATTCTAAGGATTACAATCGGTTCTATTAGCTGTTGTCTTTTATGCTTCCTCAATAATAATATAAAACCCCGCTATTTTATATCCTGTATTAAAAAAATCCGTTTAGCTTGATTCGATATTCAACAACGCCTAAGTTGAATTTCTAGGTATATGTAACTCTATATTTGGGATTGTTTGTTGGGAAAACAATTTTCTAGTCAAATTAAGTCAAGTTTTGATGTGAAATAAAAATGTTAGAAAATAAAAATGTTGTAACAAAAAACAAATCTAAAATGTATAATATTTTTCTTAGTTAATATCCAATAAAATTGTGTTTAGACTTGCACCTACGTAGAGAAATAATTAATAAAGGAAGAAACGAAACGAATTTTAAGCTCCATATGAATTTTAATACATTTTTAACTTATTTGTTATTTGAATGTATTATTAAATTTAAAAATTCTTTTTTGAAAATTGGGTTTCCTAGTTCCTTCAATGGGTCATTAACTTATATTACCCCGTTATATTAGTGAACTTTGCCAACTTCGAAATAGTTGAGGTTTGTGTAGAAGAGAGAGCAATGAGTAGAGCTACAAATTAATTGGTTTAATTGAAAATTGACCAAGTTTTTTAGAACAATAGAAAGGGGAAAATTGGCCAATTTTTTTGGAACAATGGCAAAGGGCAATGCAACAGAGGGAATGTTAATTTTAATATACTATTAATTTCACTAGCTAATAAGACATTTAAGTTACTTTGGTTGTACTTTTCATATAAGTTGTTTCCTGTGTATTCTAGAGAACAACATAGAATATTTTAATGCTTAATTAGTACCAAGTAAAAAGATTATAAATTAAATGAGCTGCGAAAATGTAAACTCTGATTGCAACGTGTGTTTATATGCTAATATGTTAATATGTGTGTGTGCAAATATGTTTTTTATATGGGTGTTACATTGCATACCTCTTTCGATTTTTGTATTTGGACTGTTTTCCATCTCTGATCAGATCTTATCAGACTTGCATAGTTATAAAATATACAGAGACCAGACATTAAATAGACCAGACCAGTTCACACCAGATCAGAAAAAAATTCAGTCAGATTAAAAATACCTTTAATGTGATTTGCGATTTCATTTTATGCAATAGTAAGCTTGAAGTTGTTAAATAGTTTGATTTTCTGATGAGATCAAAAAAACGAAATTAGTAGCAAATTATTCCCAAATAAATTACTAAAAAGCAGCCAATCAAAATTGATAAGATGAAGCTGATAAACTTGACGTATAAAAGCAGTTGGTATACCGTGGGAGCAGCCCACGGTGGGCATGCTGCTCCCACTGAAAAAAATGTGTGTTACTGTTCACGCGCGTGAACAGTAACTTTTTTTATTTTTTATTTTTCCAGTAGAAGAATGGTGTAAATCGCGTGAAAAGATATGTAACTCAAGCTAATAAAAAATGTAACTGCAGGCAAGGCGAAGTGTAACTTGTCTAATACGGATTATAAGAAATAAATCATTGATTTTAATGAAAACAAGAAGTCTAATTGCTCAATTACTTTATGTAAATAGTAAATATGTTTTGTTTTAAATATCCTGGCTATAAAAATTTTTTTAGTGTCAGAAAATCATTTTTTTTTTGCCAAAAACCCTTTTTGTTTTTGCAAAAAATAATATTGTTTGTATCAATAGCAGGGGTTTAATTAAATAGTGAATATATTCTGTTTTTTAAAAAACACTTGTTTAAGCAAAAAAAAATCACTTGTTTAAGGAAAAAATCAATTTTTTTGCCAATTTTATTTTATTTTATTTTTTGCAAAACAATTATTCTTTTGTTTCAATATTAGTTTTTATGTTGTGATGTAATTCGTGTTATGAAAAATGTAACTCGCGTTGATGGAAAATCTAACTCAGGTGTATGCAAAGTGTAACTTGTTGAGGCAAACTCAAATGTAACTAACGCATAGAAAGATGTAACACACGTATAAAAACGATATAACTCGTGCATAAGAAAATGTAACTCCATATACTATCAAATGTAAACAATGAAAACAAATGTAAATAGTTAATATGTTTTGTTTTTTGTATTAAAGCCATAAAAAATGTATTAAGGAAAAATATTGCTTTGCCAAAAATTCTTTTTTTTTTTACCAAACAAAATCTTTTTTATTTACAAAAAAATGTTTTTTGGTTTCAATAGCATTTGTTTATTTTGTGATATAACTCGTGTTATGAAAAATAGAACTCGCATTGATGAAAAATTTAACTTAGGTGTATGCAAAATATAATTTGTTGAGACAAGATTAAATGTAACTCGTGCATAGGAAGATGTAACTCACTTATAAAAAGATGTAAATCGTGCAGAAGAAGATATAACTTTATATACTATCAAATGTAACTCCAGAAATTGTCTATAAACACAATCCACACATGTGGAAATATAAATCACATATGAAAATGTAATCTTTTATTTTATCAAATGCAAATTAAAATAAGCAAATATAATGTCTTAAATACACTAAAACATACTGTATAATAGAGATAAGAAATACGGAGTATATTTTAGGAAAAGGTGTATGGATAAAAATATATTACAAAAAATATGGAGTATAATAAATATTCATTTTGAAGAGAAATAATTATTTTTGGTTTTGATATCAGTAGAAGCAAAAAAGAAATAAAAAGTGTACAAATAAGGACTAATCAAGAAAGAAAATGTAATGAATTTATTTTGAAAGGATGAAACTTTGATTAAAAAAATGTAATACGTACATAAGTGTTCCTAAATTAAAGTATTGATAGCTTTTGAATTTTGATAATGCACAATTAAAAGTAAACAATGAAAAAGAAAAAGAAAACTACGGTGGAAGAGTGGAGTGTGTGCGACTAGAGATCAAAGAGAGAATGGAAGCTTTTTATAAACAAAGTTAAAAGTAAACAATGAAAAAGAAAAAAGAGACACGGATCGGGATTCGGGAGTGGAGTTTGCGAGATATCACGTGACCATCGAGCAACTAGCACTGCATGTTTGATTTGTTATGAGAAAGGGTACCGTTTTTGGGATGGGTATACCATGTAGACAGGGACGGAGCCAGAACTCAGTCATAAGGGGGGCCAAGAACAAACACAAACACTAAAGAAAAAAATCTCTAAATAGGACAAAAAAAGTTTATAAACAGGATTATCATTGTTTTAATCTCAAAATAGGACTTATTGACTCCTATTTTGGCAAACTTTAATCAAATAATTTTTTATAGAACTAAATAAGATCTATTCAAGGAGTAAAACATATTTTTTCATATTTTTAATGAGGAATGATCCTTTCAGAATTACATGACGGGATCCACCATCCGGATGTCTGTGTTTGATGTGCTTCCTGATGGATTTTTTGGGTGAAATTTTATGACAATATTCTTCATGATGTGTAGATTTATTACACCTAATTTCAGTTTAAAATTCAATCGACAAATCAGTTAAATAAATTATTGAAAAAACACTGTACCAAAAAATATATAAATAAAAAACTCAGTGTTTTTCCATAATTTATTTAATTGACTCTCCAATTGCATGTAAGCTGAAATACGATGGATATAATATACACTTTATGAAATACATGTTCACAAAAATTCATCAAAAAATTCCACCCGAAAGCATCTCACATAAAAGCTTCTATCGAGTAGTTTTGACCCAATCTTTACTGATTATTTCATTTTTAATAGTAGTATTAGTGTATTACTAAAAAATAAAAAAGTTGGGAGGGGCCATGGCCCCCCTACCCATACACATACATCCGTCCCTGCATGCGGATGGTATACCGATCCCACGGTATAATTTACCATATAAAAGGTAGTGATTATAATATAGTAGAGTCGTATGTTTATTTAATTAAAATATAGTAGAGTCCTTGTTTAATTAAATTCTTTAAAAGTTGTGAGCAGCCTAAGGTCACGTAGGAGTTCCTAGCAGGGAGCTACTTTACGGCATTTAATGAATTAATTAACTGTTTTAGTATAAAGATAAGGTAGATTCTATGGTACCTATAAGGTACCGTACCTTTGTCCACATGAACCAATCAGAATTATGCAGTTGAATTATTTAAATCTAAATTAAAAGGGATTTTAATCATTTGGACCAATCAAATGCATGATAGGTACGTACCCCATTTTTTAAATGGGTACCGGAGTTGTCACCTAATGATAATAATTACTACCTCCGTCCCCCTAAGTTTGGGACAAGAGAAGGTGGTACGGTTATTAATAAAAGTGTGTTTATGTGGTTGATATTGAATTGATAAAGTAAGAATAAAGTAGGAATGATTTAGAACCACATAAATTTTACCAAATAAGGTATGGGACAATCTTAGTGGGACGGACCGAAATGGTAAAATGGGACAATCATAGCGGGACGGAGGGAGTATTTGTGTTAACCAATGAGAGAATGACACATCACTATTTTATAACTCAGTTTTACTATATCAAACAATGGATCTATTCCAGTTATAAATGTGCTTCCATTTTTGGACTGTTGCAATTATCACTCATAATCTTCATTCCCTTTATGGACATACACTTCATTTGTTCATTGAAGAAGAACTCCATGGATGTCATGCACCTCTTCTATTTTATATTATAAATTCAATCTAGATGAAACACACTTAAAATGCAACACAATCACTTTTGTTATTAAGGGGTGTTTTGGATCTCATTCTTATAGACTAGAAGCAGAGGTTTAAGTGTTCAGGTGAAAGTGCAGAAGTGATTCTGAGGGAGACAAATTTCTGAAAATTGATTCAGACTCTGCTTCTGCTTTAAAAAAGAAGCAGAGGCAGAATGAGTTTCAAACACCCCTAAATATTAAACATTTGAATTGAACTTATTTATGATTCTGAAGTGCTTGAATTCATCCGTATTTTGGTGATTGATGATCTATATTTATTCTTATTTTTTTCATTTGAACATCTCCACACACGTACACATATATGCTACTGCATTTATTTTATGCATACAAAAAATATGACTTTATTTTTCCTTCGATCATTATTCATTACTACCTCCGTTCTCTTTTAAATGCAACGTTGGACTTTTTGCACTATTCACATGTTCTACTTTGACTACGTTTTATTTATTAATGTAATAATATATATTTTTGAAAAAAATATTATTAAATTTTTCTCATTATAAATTTTCAAAATCTATTTTTTAAACTTTTTTTACTAATCGAGAATTATATATATTAATGGTCAAAGTTGTGCCTCGACAAATGTGAAATGTTGACTGTTGCATTTATTTAAGAACGGAGGAAGTATTATTTATTAATCACTTTTATAACGTTTGACATCAGATTTCCCACCCCTTTCACATTTCAAGCTAGTTTCAACATCCATAAGAACTGAGCCGGCATTGCAACATCCATATGTACTAATCAACTTTAGAAGTTTGGTTATAACATGGATTTAAGCCTTAAGGATGATTTTTCTGTTATGTTAATATTCCTTTCAATCCTGTCGATGAAGGAAAGCATCTCTCCCAAACTTTTTTCATCTGAAAGAGAATCAAGAAGAAGAAAAAGAAAAGATAATAAGCAAGCGGCTTGGGCAGATATTTTCTACGATATTTAAGATATATATACACATGAGTTCATAGATTTAATTGACAAATGCTCCAGTAACTAAATTCCAATCATTTTATTACTCTGAATGGTTAAATATTTTGTAAGAACTATATATATATATATATATATATATATATAGGGTTAAGATCGGATACAAAGCATGCCTCCCATACAAAATACAAATTCATCTCACCCGTCCAATATTAAGAAATTAAGGGTAAGATTTTGTTTAAGCACCAATACTTAACCGTATTAATTACTGGGAGAGTTTTTCTCCTCTTGATATTAACCGTATTAATATCATCTCACCATTTGTGGGATTGGTTTCCAATCATGGCCGTTACCTTTTTAATATCAATGGCTACGATTAGTTTGTATTTTGTAAATTATGATCAGTTTGTATGTGATCCTAAATCTATATATATATATATATATATATATATATATATATATATATATATATATATATATATATATATATAGTAGTCTTCCTGTCCAGCCGGCCTGACGGGAACCGCCGTCCGGCCGAGGGCATTTCGGGCACTTCCCGGTGGAATGTTTTGATGAAATTTTTTGAGCATGTTCTTCATGAAGTCTAGTTTATCCATACTAAAATTTAGCTAAAAATTCAATCGGGAAGGCAGTCAAATAATTTGTTGAAGTTAACTGCGCAGTTTATATGTATGAACTGTCCAGTTAACTTCAAGAAATTATTTGAGTGCCTTCCGGATCGAATTTTTAGCTGAAATTTGGTATGGATAAACTAGACTTCATGAAGAACATGCTCAAAAAATTTCATCAAAAAATTAAAAATTGTAGCTGATTGAAATCACTCTGAATCATCAATTTTATATATACATAAAACATTTTTTTTGCATATCTTTCTAAACATATTATAGTATCTGCTCGAGTTAATGCCAAAATCCTTGATTGGGATGAGACTCGAACCAGTGACCTTCTCTTTGAGAGATCAACAGTCATATTATCAGATGACAAGGTACTTGACTATATACATGAAACTTAGCTTTGATCAAATTTGAATCATATTATTAAGATTCCGTATGAGTCTTAAGGATGTAATACATAGTCCTATCTCAATAAATCATAGCTTTGAGACTTTGATAAAACTTAGCTTTGATTAAACTTAGCTTTAACATAGTTTCTTAATGTTATACGGAGTATATATTAGTTAATAGTAATCTAAGTATTGGTGTTGGTTAACTTTATGTTTAATCAAACATCTAAATTGAAACATAAACCACCATACGAAAAGGAGTGAGTATGTCATCACTTTTTATTGCTGAATTCATAACTTAAGAATGAAATATAAGTATTTACCAAATCTGGGAATGGTATGTCCTTTGGGATGATGAATGACTATAGGATCAACATAACATTGAGCAAGTTGTATTGCTGATTCCCTGCAGCCCTCTCCCTTCCCTATAATATGAACAGATGGGCACCTGGTTTGTGGATCATATGCATTCTCTGCTACAAATTTGTCCCTGCTTATTTTTGCCGCTCCTATTATGATCACACATTTAATCTTTGGAACTTTGGTCAGGACCAAACCCTGCCAATAGATATACACAAATTTTAAATAACCCCACCAAGTTATGAGTGGTCAAATTACCAGATTGGCAAAAAAACGGGGTATTTTACCAAATTGGTAAAAAAAAACCTCCCGAGACAAATCGGATAAAAAAGGGTATTTTTGATATTTCATATTCTAAGTATTTTGAAATTGACATTTTCAGTCCAACTTTGATTTTGTCATGAAAAGTATATTACTAAAAATCTACTGCATTAAAAAAATCTACTAAAAAATTATATTCCATATAAAGGTTCTATTTTATATGGAATATTTTTTCTATTTTATATGCCATAAAAATTTTAAAAAACTCATAAAATAGTCATATGTAAAATATTAATACTAAAAATAAATAAATTTATATGTGTGTGCTCGACTAACCAATTTTAAAATACAACTACAGTCCTCGAATTTTGAATTCCCGATATTTCATAACCAGCTGTCTGCTAGCTAAAAGTCTGTTGAATCGACAAATTAATACTAGCACATTCCGTTAACTTTTTAACTAACCACTTTCATTATCGCCTTATCGATTTGAAACAAAATGTTAGTAACTTAACTGTTTGCAATTAACTGTTAAGACGTAAAATGACCATTAGAAATATGAATTTATAAGTATATAACTTCACTTTATTTTTTTTATTTTTAGTAAGTCTTGAAAAATTTTATAAAAATTATATTTACGCTTATTTTAAATAAACACTAACGTTATCATTTTTAACATATGTACATTAACGCGAGCACACACGTATGAAATTGGTTAGTCAAGCACACACATATAAATTTATTTGTTTTTAGTATTAATATTTTAAATATGACTGTTCTATAATTTTTTTTCTTAAAAAAATCTACGTCATACGAAGTATAAAATAGCAAATATATTTTATTTTATTTTTTTTTATTTTTTTATTAATATTTTAAATATGACTTTTCTATATGTTTTTTTTAGTATTAATATTTTAAATATGACTTTTATACAAGTTTTTTTTAAAAAAATCTACATAATATAAAATAGAAATTTCATATGAAGTGAATTTTTTAGTAGATTTTTTAAATGTGGTACTCCCCCGTCCCAATATGATGGCTTCACTTATTTTGGGCACAAATTTCAATAAAGTGGTTAAAAAGGTAAAAGTTGTGGTTGAGATTTAAATAGAAAAAGATGAAATGATGTGGACCACATCTTTCTTTCCAAAAAGGGAAACATGACCATCATTTTTAAACATCCAAAAGGGAAATAAAGGACCTTCATACGGAGGGAGTACATTCTTTGGTTATGTACTTTTCATGACAAAATCAAAATTGAAGGAGTGAAATTGTCAAATTCGTAATACTTAAAATATGAAATATCTGAAATTCTAAAGTCGAGGGTAAAAAATGTTCCACTCACATAAAATTGACCAACTCTATTTTGGAAAGAGGTTCAAATAAGCCATTGTACTATTTCCAAACCGTCATTTGATAATATCCCTCTGTCTCAAAAAGGTTGACCAATTTGACTTTTCTTGGTCAACGGTTATCAACTTTGACCAATATTAATATCTTTTAATACAAATTTATTTGAAATATGAAAATTATATGAGCTTATTCTTTATTAAAGATATTTCATAAAAGTATAAAATTTATAAATTACACATACATATAATACCTAAAATCATTGTCTAAACTTTAACACTATTGATCAAGAAAAGTCAAATTGGCCAACCTTTTTGGGACGGAGGTAGTATGTTCAAATAAGTCATTGTACTATTTCCAAACCGTCATTTGATATATCTCTCCATTTTATATATGTTTGAATACCTCATAAACAATCATTTGATGCTCTCATATTGAGCAAAATGAAGTGAGAAACCCTCTCAAAAACCTCCAAAAATTCATCCAAAACACAAGAAATAAGCAAAAACAGAGCTGGAAATGTCATCTTGGAAATCGAAGATCTGGGCTGCCGGGTGCTGTCGCACCTGCTGCGCGCGCTTGCAGTTTGCGCCATCTGCTGTCGAACCTGCTGCAGTTTGGCACCCCGTCCCAGGCCTCTTCGCCGTCGTTCCGGATCCAGTACCGCCGTCACTTCAGGCGAATTTCCCGTCCAACTCTACACCGACCCAGCGGTCTGCGACGGTTGTGGAGATCGATCACTACAAACCACCTCTGGTATCGTGCTGGTCGCCACCGCAGCTCGAAGGTTGTCTCCTAAGTTAGTTAACTCAATTTTTGGAGCTTGACCTTAAGGTATCCGCCATTAATGGCTGCTAAGAGCTCCAGGAGTGATAGATCGTGAAGTAGCATTAGGCCCAAAATTATTTCTTCATAGTATATTTGAGTAGGCTGAGTTTTGACCTGAAATTATTAATTTTGTATAGTCCAAGTAGCCCAAAGGCCCGGAATGAAAAAAAGCGGAGAAACTAAACGTCGTCGCTCAAGAGATACGTAGCGTATCGTTTGATTCGTATCATTTAACGGTTTCCATGTTGTTTTCAACCTTTAGCCAAATAGCCAATCAGCCGTCAACCCTTCAGTCTTCACGAATCACGAGTTCTGATCTGCCGTTTTGCCTTAAGGCTTTTAAACTTGTGGTTATCAGATATGCCTTCCAACGCTCCGTTCTGGCCATTGTTTATTTGTTGTACAGAATAGTTTTTCACATTCTCCTTTTTTAATTTATTTGAGTAGTACGAACATATGCTTGTGTATTTGTGTGATCAATTTAATCCGTAGTTGTTAAATGTTTATAAATGATTATGAATAGTTGATAAATAATTGGATGATTTTGTGAGATGTTAATCACTTAATTGATGATTGTTACCTTGGTGTTATAATTTGTTCATTTTGTTAGTTAAAAATTTTCAATTATAATTAAAATTTTAAATTTAACTAATTTCAAGGTTTGATAAAAATGAGTGAATCCAGAGGGGAGAAATTAAAAATTATATGCAATCAACAATGTCTCAAAAAAAACTTATTGGATTAGCTATATTAAACATTGAGCACAATGTGTTATAATTGATGACTTTGCCTCAATGTTCAGCAAGGAATGTATTTAAGTAATTTTTATTTGGTTATTTTGAAAACGTGATTTGACTATGTTTAATTTAATGAATTCAAGTATTTTCTTTATTATAAAGGTATTCAAATAGTAATATTTTGCATGTTAATTTAGATACAATGTATTTTGCAATTTTTTTAAATTAGGCTCATTTTAAATTGTTCGCCCCTAGGTCTTCAATTATACAGCGCCACCCTGAGGAAGCTTCGCCGTTGGTCGTATCCGTTCTGCCGCTGGGCCCACCAGAGTCAGTCTCCACCTGAGGAAGCTTCGCTGCTCGCAGTCCTGAGTGAGCTTTGCCGCCTCCATCCTCATCCGATGAAGCTCCCTGCGATTAGCTACAGTAGCATCCGCTACTCTCTTCGGTCTCTTGGGCCAGGCGAGGGTGCGCACTTGTGAAAGCAAAGGCTAGGTCAAATATGGTAATGGAGTGGCCCAATAAAGAATAAAGGCCCAACAGCTAGATCAGCCTAGAAACTCCAACTCCAGACCCATTGTCTCAGACGGCCCAAATAAGAGCTAAGTACCCACCAACCCAATACTCCAATTAGGGGTGTTCGTTAAGCTTGGGACCGGTTCGGTTCCTAGGCAAAATATGTGGAACCGTTTGAAAATATGAAATTTTACTAACGGTTCAGTTCTTATAAATTATTTTATAGAACTGATAAGGAACCGAACCATTCTTAACGGTTCGGTTCTAATCATTTAACAGTTCCTAGTCTTTAAAAAAGTTCTTACAAATCACGGTTATATTTGTGCCAAAAAAACATTCAACCTTTGAAATTACAATACAAATATGTTGAACATCATTTCAAAACTCAAAAGTTGAGTTTAAAACATAAATACATAACAAACCGCAAATGTTACTAAATAAAACAAAACATGAAATTCGCTAAAGAAGTCCAAGAGAAGCGGTTAAAATGAAAAATAATTTTAAATAGTTAAATAACTAAACTAAAATAGTGAATGTAATATAAAGATAAATAAGTAAATAATTAAATATCCCTGTTTCCTTTTTGGGCTGTCCCGCAAAATAGTTCGCATTTCTCCTTTTGGAAAGTTTTGTGTGGTTCACATTCATTTACCTTTTTCTTACACAATCACAATCATACATTTCCACTTTATTCCCACTTTTTAAAACTCCGATCCAAGTCAATGCGGGAACTATTTTATGGGACAGAAGGAGTATTTTTGCTCAATTGTTTTGTGTATGTTCCTCATCAAGTCTAGTTCATCCATACCAAATTTGAGCAAAAAATTCAATCGGGAAGGCCGTCAAATGATTTTTACAAGTTAACTTGTCCGGAATATACATATAAAACGCAGTTAACTTGCAAAAATCATTTGAATGCCTTCCCGATTGATTTTTTTGCTCAAATTTGGTATGGATGAACTACACTTGATGAGGAACATACACCAAAAATTTGAGCAAAAATACCACCGGGAAGGCCCCCAAAAGGAGGAGGCCGGACGGGGCTTCTGTCCAGAAATTCCGGATAGGAATATTCCAGTGTGTGTGTATTGATGTGTGTGTGTATATATATACACTAATAAGAAATGTTTATAATTTTAATTATTATATATAACAGTTCCTTAACGCTTCTATGTACATATTTTTTCAGGAACCGAGAACCGAATCGTTAATAAAAAATAGGAACCGAACCGTTAACAAATAACTAAAAAAATTGGAACCGAACCGAACTGGGTCATAACGGTCCGGTTCGGTTCTCCAGTTCTTGGTTCCAAAATCCCAGCCCTAGTGTTTGTTCGGTTCGGTTTTGTCGGTTTCGATTTTATTACTTCGGTTTTAGTCGGTTTCGATTTTTAGTCGGTCGGTTTTGATCAATTTTGGTTTTTAGTCGGTCGATTTCAGCGACTTTAAAAATAGATGAAACCGAGAATCGGACCGCAAAAATTGAGTCAATTTTGGTCAATTCATATCGTTTGCTATCGATTTTTGCCAGTTTTTGCCCGTTTATTTTTGTTTAACCGATTTTTTAAGCCAAAAGTACAAACCGTAAACTGAATAACCGATTATTTAGTCACTTTCGGTCGATTTCGGTTTTATCGGTTCGGTTTTGATTGGTTTCGGTTTTGGTCGGTTTCGGTTTTGATCGGTCGGTAGTCGGTTTCGGTTTTTCGGTTTTTTTGTTCACCCCTACTCCTACTTTATGCATTAAACATTAAATAGGAGTAGTAGTAGGATGATTATTACTATTATTATTATTATTATTATTATTATTATTGATATTGATATTATTTTTGACACCACCATTATGACGGGTTAAAATCCTCCGAGGTGGTGAAGACCATTATTAGCGGGTTAAAATCCCCCAAGGTAGTACGAGCCGAGCTCTAATCTATCCAACATCTTTATTTGATGATTCAGATTCAAAGCGGGCCCCTCGACTGATCCCCAGTCACCTTGATTTGATAACCGTGGTGCATCCAAAAGCCCCCAAACTGATGCGAGCCTAGCCCCCAAACTTGACCCGCCTCCGGTCATTTTTATTTAATGTCTGGGGCTCCCAAAAACCGTTGCAACGACAATGTATTTAAATCGAGTGTCGCTATCAGCCGCACATAAACGGTAAACGATACACCTCGGTCGAAAACTCAAGTGTGTCACCTCGGCCCCCACGGATACAATCCCGGGAAATGCGGCCAATGACCACTTAATTTGGAACCTAAGGCCCGCGAAATGGCCGAAGGTAAAAAAGGAGAGAGACCCCCCCTCTCCCCACGATTTTAATTTGGGAAAGTGCAGCAAGACTCCAAACACTAAAGGTGATTCCGAGGGGTTCTGAAGCACTCACCGAAAGCTCGACCCCGATAGCCCCAGAGGCCAGGGACTTGATAACATAAGTCACAATTCATTTACTCTATACAAAACATTACTATTCATCATGTTCTTATTCTTCTTCTTCTCTTTAGCTCAAATCTCTCCATTTTAAACTACGAAAGATACAGGATCTGAATGATGAAAAACTATCAATCTAGGACCCGAATGATTGAAAACTATCAATATAAAACCTAACTTTTCATAAACTTTATTAATTTTTTATTTTAAAAAAATTAAATATTATTTTGTTTTATTAAAGTAATAAACTTTTGTGAAGAAAAAGTCATCAAATATTAGCTAAAGAATTAATAAAAAATTAAATAAGCAAAACCCATGAAATGTTAGGTCCTACATTTCATCTTTCAGGTCCCGGTTTGATAAAATTCTGAGAAAAAATGATACATGAGATCGTTTTGAGAAGATTGTGAAAGTATGATTGATTGTTTATTGTTTTAAAAAGAAAATAAAAGAAAATAACTGAAATTACAGGTCATGAACCGGTCGGAGAATGATGAAAGAGGATGAGGTGCAAAGTTAGAAATATTGGTTTGCATTTTTCTTAACATATATTACTAAATAAACTATTAATAATTAATACTCACATCAGACACATCTCATATATACCTTTTCTTGTAAGAGAGGCAAGGCTCCTGCCAACATTCCACCCTAAATTGTTTACAGACAAAACAACAGCAACAAAAGCCCCAAATTAAATCACAAGCTGGAGAAAGCTTTTTAAAATTTCATATAAACCCAAAAAACGTATTAATATATAAAGCTTGCCTCATCATCTAGTCTAGAGAAGTAAATGAAAAGTTGTGGACCAGTGGACGCTAAGAAATTTGAAGGAAATGAAGGGACTAACCTGGGAGAAACCAAGAAGACCATCAAAAGGTCCATATTTGATCATGCAGTCTTCTATATATGCAATACATTCACTCATTTTCTGGGGTGTTTGTGTCATTTCCTGATATCAATTTTTATATTTTAAATTATGAATTAAAATGTTGCTTCACGACGAACAAAATTAGTTAGGTTGATCAATTTTCTGTTAGTACTTCCGTTTCATAGTCCCCCAAACATTAGAACGTGGTGGGGTTATTAAGAGAAAATGAATTTATGTGGTTAATATTGAATTACTCCAATATATTAAAAATAAAGTAAAACTAATATAAATGTTCCCAAACTTTATTAAATTGAATATGAGAAAATCTCAATGGGCTAAACTGAAAAGAAAAATATGGAACAAAACATGGGGAATAGAAAAAACCTTATTGGTATGGTACCATTCATAATAAGGAGGGTCGTAAATCCCATCGACGTCAGATTTGCCCAGAAATGGAAAAGGGGCATCTACAAAGACAAGATCCAGTTTATCCAGGACGACTGAGTCCCATTTACGGACCAATTCTTCCTTGAGTATGTCTGCACTAGTTCCCATACCATGAAGGCAAAAAAATCTGGGTTTCCTCCACTCATGAATGCTTCCCATTCTCTTGAAGAAAAAGATCTAGAGAGTCGCGTTCTTCTATGTTTTTTTTTATGTTGGGGAAGACATCTTAGTGTACCATTACCATACACACTCTTTTGTATTTATAGTGAGGGTTTTATTCATTTTTTTCTTTGTTCCAAAAGGTGGAGTCTCCCACCCCAGTCCCTAGGAGCCCCCACACCCCACAGAATAGTGGAGGAGTAAGTCACTATGACTCAGTCGGTCCAATGATGGTAGACCTTATACTCGTGCGCACTAGAGATCCAGCCCAGAACGCAGGAGCTGTAACCTCCACACGACGCCTGCGGGTTTCGATCCTTGGTCATTGTTCCAAATTTCCCACCACTAGACCAACTAAGCTACCCGTGCGAGTCTTTTTTCTTTTGTAAAGGTTGTATTATATATAGATTGTTGTAGATTTTTTAATTTTTTATGCTGACTTTTAACAAAAATAGTACACTTCTAAATTTATAGACTTTCTTGAATAAATTTGTTGATTTATATCAATTTATAGATTTCATATGAATGGTATTTATCAATCAATTTTATAGGAAATAGAAGTTTAAACAAGAGCAATGATAACTACTAGTAATATTTATAAGTCAAGAATTATTGGAGGTCGAACAAGTACATTATTACACAAAATGAGAAACAAGCACAACAAATGTAATTCGTAATGAAAAGTTCTCTAAGAAATGGAAAAAATAATAAAATACTCCAAACTTTGAAGAGGTGTGAGATGAGCACCCCAAACTTCCATACGCAATTTAAATACCCCAAACTTTATATAAAAAGCTATTTCGCACCATTGTCATGTATTATTTCTTTAAAAAATGTAAATTTATGGGGTTAATTGTATAATTTAAAATAACATATTAAAAGTGTTGCAATTATATAGATTGGGGGTAACAATTTTTATTTCGGAATGGAAGTTTAGAATGTTAATTGTGTCTTCATGAATTCTAAAATATTTTAAATTATGCAATTAACACCATAAATTCACATTTTTGAAAGAAATAATACTTGACTATGATGTTAAAATAACTTTTTATATAATGTTTGAGATATTTAAATTACATATGCAAGTTTGGGGTGCTTATCACACACTCCTTCAAAGTTTGGAGTATTTTAATCTTTTACCCCTAAGAAAAAGTGAGGTTTAAGGATCCAAGGTTATTCTTTATTAAGAAATCAATATTGGTAATAGAGTGAGTAAAAGTGGTAATCACTACACAAGTGTTATATTGGTTGTTTCATGAAAGACAAGCATAGATGTAATAGAGCTTTTCATTTTAGTGGTTATTTGATTTTCAATCTTGTTAAGATTTGTTTACTATTTCACAGTTCAATACTTATTAGTTTGATACTATAGTTTTATGTGTTAGAGATGAAACACGACAATAATTAAATACTACGTATATTATTGTTTGTTTATGATCGATTAACCGGTAACAGAAAAAATATGCACCACTACTATACTATCGGGTACTTATATTAACTTTCAAAAAAAAATTAGGACCAAATTGAATTAACGATCGATCAAATGGGTCCTAATTTTCTTTTAAAGGACCAAACCAATCTCACGGTTACTTTTTCTTCATAAGATTATGAATTAAAAGTCACGTTTTTAAATTTTGTTTAACTTTATCTTTTGTATCAGTATGATGTTCAACGGTTCATGATCTGGAATTAATAAATGGTCAATTCTGAACTGATGTTGGAATCGGGTCTATATGTACGTCTGATGGGTAGGGAACGAAATAAAAAATCTACAAACAACGAGTTAAGAGTTCACAACAATTAGTGGTTGTGAACACATTAAATTCAATTAACGTGTCAATACATTTAGACTCTTCTATTCATTAAATTCAATGCACCTAATTAAGCTTTTAAAATTCATACACATTAAAAAATGTCACTATTTTGCTTTTATACATCCCTAACCATCTCTAATTTGCATTAAAATGATCAAAATACCAACCATTTCAACATCAACCATTCACATCATTTTTATCACTCAAAATAAAAACGTGATGAAAGAACAGAGCTTCCAAAATGACACCAAAACGGCAGCCCTGCCAAAACAATAGTGTACGGAACAATGCCCTTCTTTTACTGCTGCTTTGGCCTTTGTATCTTTTAGGTTTTGTATTCCATTATATATTATTATATTTAGTTCCCCTTTGGAAAAATATTTTTTTGGTTATCATGCTATGTTTTATTTTCTTTTTATATTTTAAATATCCCGTGTGTGAATAGCCTTATATATTTAAAGTGATACGGAGTATGGCACAGAATTATGAAAACAAACGGTTCATTTTTTAGAAATTGCTCAATATATATTCAAAACATAAGTAAATGCAAAAATAGGATTACAAATGTTTTAATTTATTCTCCAAAAATAACATTATCATTGTATTCTTCATGCTTAATTATCAACTTTCATAAGCTAATAGCTATGAGTATGGGGCATTCGAACTCAATAATACAATAATAAAATGAAACGTAACTGGAATTGCAAAATAAAAAATAAAAAATAGATTGAGCGATTAGTTGACAGTCACATCTAAGCCCATCTATAATTTGCATTCAAATGGTTAAAAAACAACCATTTCAATATCAATCATTCATATAGCTTTCATCACTTAAATACAATGTTTTTCCAAACAAATAGCTCTCATAGTGTACGCAATGCATTTAAACAATGCCCTCCTGATCATGGCGGATATAGGAATGTTACGGTGTAGTGACGGCAAATGGCAACCAAAATGGTTCCATATAGCCAATATATATAGGAATGCTAGTCGTCTTTATGCAATGGTTTGATTTTCCACATCAATATAATTTTTACCAAAGTTATTTTTAATGTAGTGTAAGGTGTTAGAGACTGTATATCAAGCTCTATGCGCATATCCGAAATTTTTGCTCCGTTTTTTGACTAACAAGTTTTCCGTATAATTCCGTACAGATGGGCCGTACATGATTTTTTTTCTTTATTTATGGCCGAGCCTCCTAGTTGGTTTAAGGGTAGATTTTACTCTCTATAAATACAAGTTGTCCCCCTTTGTAATCCCTTGGATCCGAAAATAGCAATAATATTCCTAGTTTGGTAGTGCCCCCAGACGTAGTTATTCGTGGCGAACTGGGTTACCAAAATTCATGTGTTCTTTAATTGTTCTTCGTGTGCGTGAGTTTAATTCCTAACATGTAGAAAATACGTACTTCAATGGTTAGCTACAACATTCCTCTTAATTTCTAACTAAAAATATTGCATTAATAATTATCTTTCCTCAAAGCTAGTAGCTCATTTTTCCTAATTAGCTTTGTTGATTTTGTGTGTGTATATGCATGTTCAAACATAGGCTTGTTGGTTACTATCACGGGCACCCGGGCGGATCTTAGTAGAGACCTGGGAGGTCATGCCCCCCCCCCAAAAAAAAATTTGCCTCCCCCTCAAATATAAGTAATTGTAATAATTTCCTTCTCAATTTTGAATTAAATATCTACCAAGGGTAGAAAATGAAAAAAATAAAAAACTAGAAATTAAAAGTTAAAAAGTGATACATAGTTTATATGAATCTATTTTCTAGGGAGTATGAATGATCGTGTATTCTTTAAACAAATGAGGGCGCTAGTCGATCCAATTCCTAAAATAGAAGTTGAAAGAGACATGTACTCTAACACTCTCTATACTTCGTATGAAAATAAAATGAAGCAAATCTCATAAGCTTGTCACTCAAAAGATGTGATTGAGAAATTTTTCTCTTTTGGAGAAACACTGGACACAATTTTAAGGTATTAACTTTACTATTTTGTAATAATATATTTCTCTCTTCTTCTAGTTTTTTATTTACTGTGTACTATTTTAATGTTTCATTTTGTATACTATGGAGTAGTGATAGGTCCGTATTTAGACACACATTTGATGCGTCTTGGGATCGGATTTTGATGGTTTTCCTAGCTTTATAAGCTGTTGCAAGTCTCAATTTTAGCTCAAGTTATGTTTACCAGACGTTGGTTCAAGTTTTGTGTCATTCAGAGTCAAAATCAGGAATTTAAAGTTCGGCATCGGCGCTTGAGAAGCAATCGAGATGAGTTGAGAAGCACTCGAGAATGAATTGAGAGCATTGGAGGTCATTGAGAGGTTCACGATGAACATTTGATGGCAAAAGAGCTCTAGGATTGGCTACGGGATCAAAAGAAGATGAATGGAGCTTGAAAACGACGATCAGGATGACCTTCTGTCAATGGGTCAAGCATATCTCTTTGTAGAAGCACTCAAAGAACACGATTCAAGTTCCATATGAAATCCAACTTCAACAGATACAAATCATATGAAGACACCATTTCGAGAGTCTGAGAGGAAAAAGGTGAAAACAGACGATGAAGTCAGATGATCGCAGTTGAGATTTCAGAATGAGACCTTCCACCATTTTATTCATATCTCTTGATTGGATGATCCAAATCCTATTTGGCAAGTTATGGTGGATAAAGGACTTCATTATCTACACCTTTAATGAAGCAAGTTTTGTCAAATCCGGACTGGAAAAGGCCAGGCACGACCGTGCTTGGGAGATAGGCACGCCGTGCCTGAAGAAGAAAACCGTACCTAGCTACTCGAGGCCAGACACGATCGTGCCTGGAGGGAGGCACGTCCGAGCGTACACAAAACGTGTGACTTTACTCCGGAGGCACAGTCGTGCCTGTCACTGTGCCTGCCTCCGGAAATCGCAATTCAAGTCAAATTTCACCCGATTTTTATATTTAAACAGTCTGTAAACCCCCGTTTTCAAGGGGGACCTTAGAGAGCGTGACTAGCACGAAATTTAGAGGGCTTTTCAGCCTTGTTCATCCATCTTTTTAGATTCTTTGTAAGTTCCATCTTTTTAATTAATGACAATTTATTCTATTCAGCCCAATTCTGTTGATTCTTCAATTATGAATTGCGAGTAGTTTAATTAGGGATTTGGGGTTGATGAAAGAGTTAATCATGATTGATGGCTAGATTCTTGTTGGTTTAATTGCATGAATACCGTTTAATTTGTGCCTGAATAATTTAATTGATATCTCTTGTAATAACCTAGA